GTGGTATGATTCTCGCTTTGGGTGCGAGAGGTCCCGGGTTCAATCCCCGGTTCGGCCCATTTTTATTGAGCTTTTATGCGATTTTAACCGAAATTTAAGGTCGAAAATTAGCTATTTCAGCACCTAAAATCAATTTTCCCCATATTTTCACTCAATTTTCCACCATTTCCAGGGCAAATCCAAATGGATCGACACCCAAGTCGTGTTCGCCATGCCATACGACACCCCAGTCCCCGGATACAAGAACAACATCGTCAACACCCTTCGCTTGTGGTCCGCCAAGGCCGAAAATCACTTCCATCTGAAGTTCTTCAACGACGGAGACTACGTTCAGGCGGTGATGGACCGAAATCTCTCGGAGAATATCACTCGTGTGCTCTACCCGAATGATAATGTGAGTTCCCTGATCTTGAAAGTCATTTTCACTCTTGAGCAATGTCAGATTCGCGTTTAGCACCGTCGATTTAGTCTAATTTCGAATTTTCAGCCCGAATTTCGATCTTCGGTGTTTGCGTACTTTTGGCGCTACAGTAGCATGCCCCTAATTTCAAATTTCCGAAATCTAGGTCACCTCCTAAATTTTTAGAATTTCGAATTTTAGAAGTCTAGGTCATGACCCAAATTTTGTATTTTCAAAATTTCATGACTTAGATTTCGAAATCTAGATCATGAGTTGAACTTTAAAAATCTAGGTAATGACCCAAATTTTCGTTATTCGGTGTTGCGTACTTTTGTCGCTACAGTAACCCAAAAACGCCGAAAATATTCAAAATAACGCTAGACTTCTGGTTTTTTGCGATTAGACTCAAATTTTGTACTGAATTCGAATTTGGTGCTTGTAAATTGGAAAACTTTCAAAATTCCTTTTTTCAGATGTTCCTCGGAAAGGAGCTCCGCCTCAAGCAACAGTATTTCCTCGTCGCCGCCACTCTCCAAGACATCATCCGCCGTTTCAAGTCCTCCATCTACGGAAACCGCGAGGCCGTCCGCATCAACTTCGACACCTTCCCAGACAAGGTTGCCATCCAACTCAACGACACTCATCCATCAATCGGAATCCCCGAACTCATCCGCTTGTTCGTCGACGTTGAGGGACTCTCCTGGGATCAGGCCTGGGACATTTGCATCAAGACTTATGCCTACACCAATCACACTCTCCTTCCAGAGGCTTTGGAGCGTTGGCCAGTGTCGTTGATGCAGAATCTTCTACCACGTCACTTGGAGATTATTTATGAGATTAATCAGAAGTTTATGAATACTATCTCGGATCGATTCCCAGGTGATTTCGATCGTATGCGTCGTATGTCGATTGTCGAGGAGGCTGATCAATTCGGAGAGAAGAGAATCAATATGGCTCATCTCTGCATTGTGGCATCGCATGCTATCAATGGTGTCGCCGCGTTGCACTCTGATCTTCTCAAGAGCTCAACGTAAGGAATTTTCCCGAAAATCCTAAAAAATTGAAAATTTTCAAAAAAAAATTTTTTTTACAAAATTGCTGTCAGAAAGTTCGCAAAATTAGTATTTTTGTTTAAATCAGACATTTTCCGATTTTTTTTTAATCGACTAAAAATCGAAAAAAAGTGTGCAAAAATGGTGTACAAATGAAAACGCGCTCCACCGAACAATTCTCTGAATTTCCAGATTCCGTGACTTCTACGAGTTCTACCCAGACCGTTTCCAAAACAAGACCAACGGAATCACCCCTCGCCGTTGGCTCCTTCTCTCCAACCCATCTCTCGCCGACCTGATCGTCGAGAAGATCGGCGAATCGTGGATCACCAACCTCGATGAGCTTCAGAAGCTCAAGGAGTACGCCAACGATCCAGGCTTCTTGGATTCCATCCGTCGTGTGAAGTTGGAGAACAAGCAACAAGTGGCTCAATGGCTCTCCGACGAGTACAACGTCAGCGTCAACGCCGCCTCGTTGTTCGATGTGCACGTGAAGAGAATTCACGAGTACAAGAGACAGCTTCTCAATATCCTTCACGTCATCGCCCTTTACAATAGAATAAAGGAGAATCCAAATATCGATATGGTCAAGAGAACTGTCTTATATGGTGGAAAGGCTGCTCCAGGATACCATATGGCTAAGCAGATCATTCGTCTGATTACCGCTGTCGCTGAGCAAGTCAACAATGACGCTATCGTTGGAGATCGTCTCAAAGTGATCTTCCTGGAGAATTACCGTGTTTCGATGGCCGAGAAAATCATCCCGGCCGCGGACCTCTCCGAACAAATCTCGACCGCTGGAACCGAGGCTTCGGGTACCGGAAACATGAAATTCATGCTTAACGGAGCACTGACCATTGGAACTTTGGATGGAGCCAATGTTGAGATGGCTGAGGAGATGGGAGATGACAACATCTTCATCTTCGGAATGAACGTGGAGGAGGTGGAGGCGCTCCAGAAGCGCGGATATTCTTCCCAGGAATTCATCAATAAGAGTCCAGTGCTCAAGCAAATCATCGAGCAGATCGATGGAGGCATGTTCACTCCAGAAGACCCAACACAACTTCAAGATCTGTCCAACATGCTCCGTCACCATGACCGTTTCATGGTTTGCGCTGATTTCGATGCCTTCATCGAGGCTCAGGATAAGGTAATTCCTTTTTTTAGGATCTAGAAGAATCCTAAATTTTTAGGTCGCTGCCACATTCCGTGATCAAGAGAAATGGTCTCGCATGGCTCTCTACAACATCGCCTCCACTGGAAAGTTCTCGACGGACCGCACGATTGCCGAGTACGCCCGCGAGATCTGGGGAATCGATCAGTTCGAGAGCTCGCTTCCGGCTCCATATGAGAATGAGAAGAGCGAATAATTCTGTAATTAATTAAACCCCGTTTCCCCTTTTTCTTCCCCTAAAATTTAGTTTATAGCATGTCCCCCTTGATTTCCTTTCGAGATCAAATTGATTTCGTTTGCGCCCCCCGTATTTTTCCCTGAAAGTTGCCATATTTTTTGAGAGATTGTCTAATGCATGCCCAGTTCAGCATATTTATATGATAAACTGATTGAAAATGTCTGTTTCTTCTCTACAGCGGGAAGGAAGAATCCCGTAAATCTACACAAAAACTTAAGTCCAATGCGCCGGCTTCGAACTGCTGCAGTTGAGTTTTAATTAGAAAGCGACGTGGCAAAGTTTTAGGCCCGTGAAATATGTATGAGGATGAAAATTAACTATGGAATTCCCAGAAGTTTGGATTTTCCAGACCTAAAACATTGTCACGTCACACTGTCTCAATAAAGCACAACACTCTGTGATGTTTGGAAAATTATGAGCATCCCGGAAGATTTTTGTTCCAAAATCTAGCCCAATAACCAGAGAAATTCTACTGACCTAGATACCTACACAACCACCTGAAAAAAGTCCGAACAACTTGTAACTTCCATCTTTTTAAACAACAACAGTTTATTCAGAAAAGAGAAAGTTAACGGCGACGGTACACATTCTTCTTGGTCTTTGGCTTTGGTGGCAAGATGATTCCATCGTACTTCTGTTGGAACCACTTGATCGTCTCCTCCTTATCGACACGGTGGGATGGTCCGATACGTCCTGGAGCACGTCGGCGCTTGGACACTCTGACTCCGTTGCGGTTGAGAACGACGTAGAAGTCCATTCCGTAGATTCCGATTCCTGGATCGTACTTGATTCCGAGATCGATGTGCTCCTGGAAAATATTTTTTAATTTTCTCCAAATGAGCAAATCGTCGAAAATTCACAAACCTGCACTCCGAATCCAAAGTTTCCGGTGTCAGAGAAGTTCTCTTTGTACAACTCGTATTCCTTGACCTTGAGTCCCTTCTCGAGAATCTCCTCGGCCTTTGGCCCACGGACTGTGCAGTGAACGGCGATCTTTTCGTTTCTTCGGATTCCGAAAGTTCTGACGGTGTATCTGGCCTTCGAGAAGACTGGCGTCTGTCCGGTGAGCTGCTCGAGCACCTTAGCGGCACGAGTGAGACGATCTCCAGACTCTCCGACGCAGATGTTCAGGCAGAGCTTTTGAATCTTGAGCTCACGCATCACGTTGCGCCCCTTCTTCTCGCGGATCTCGGTCTGCTTTTCGATGTCCGTCATCATTACCTGGAAATTTGAATGCTCGAGGCGAAACAGATGAGAAAAGAAGGACAATAACATAATTTATGAAGATGAGAAAGGGAAAAAAGGGGAAGAGGAAATTGAAAATAGGAGAGGAAGCGGAAAATTCAATTTCTTCGAAAGTTTTCGAAAATTCGAATATCCACCCTTTCAACGGAAAAAAGTAGGACAAAGAAAATTTGCATATCTGCTCGAAATTATAAGTTTTATGAGAATTTTTGTTCGTCAAGAAGTGCATAAACTTAATTTTTTCACAAATTTTGGGCCTCAAAAAAAGGGGGAGGAGCATCCTGCGTGTGCCTCGTGCTTGCGCGCTGCTGAAGAGAGGACAGAGAAAACGAGACAACGCGAACAGCAGCAGCGGTGCGTCGTCGAGAGACACGGCCCGCAAACGCAACACACACAACCACCTTTTTTTTTGCCGAAAAAACGCAAATTTTCCCCAAAAAATCGGAAAAAAATCGCTGAAAATTCATGGAAAAGCCGTTCATTTTAGGATTTGGAGTACGGTTTTCGAGTTCCGTTCGAGACCCGATGGCTCTCCGAAATCCATGCGCCTTTAATTTATCTTTTTAATTCGGCTTAATTTCGGCAATTTTCATCGATTTTCTCCGATTTTTCGTCTGTTTTTTCGATTTTTTCTTGATTGTGTTATTCAAAAAAAAATTTTTCACCATTTTTTAGCAATGACAGTAAACAACGAGGGGTGGGGAGCGTTCAAAACCAACAAATGGCTATTCACCACTCCCTCATCGTCAGGAGGCCGTCCGCAGACGCCCGTCTCGAATTCAAGGGTTACAGATGGCGAAAATTCGTTAGAAACGCCAGGTAATTTGTTTTTTATAAAATTTTTAGTGAGAAAAATTTTTCTTTCAGTAAAACGCGCAAATCGGCCTCGCACACTGTCGGATCGCGGAAATGAGATTCTCGATAATCATGAAGCAGTGAGAAGTCTCTATGCATGGACCTGGAATGAGCTGAAAGAGGTTTGTAAGGGAAAACAATTTTTTTTGAAAAAAAAATAATTTTTTACAGAATTATCCAGAAAAAGGGATCAACAATCCATCGGTGTTCTGCTACGCGATCTCCTGCATACAATTGTTGTCGCATGTGCCAGCGGTAGTGAGGTTTCTTCAAGAGCATCGCTGTCAGGATCACTGTAGGTTATTTTTTGAAAAATACCTTTTTCGGACTTATCAGAGCCAAATTTTCAGCTAAAAGGGCCAGAAAAATCAATAAAATTCGTTTTCAGTATGCCTAGCCTGCTGCTGGAGGCGCTACTTCTTCCACGCCCAAGGCAAGTCCGCGCCTATCGGCTGGTTCCCTGACGCCTTCAAAAAGGACAGAAAGTTCAACGCGGGGCTTCAAGAAGACGCTCACGACGCTCTTCTGGAAATCCTGGCGAAACTCGACAAGGCAGCAGCCAAAAATCCGCCACCTCTGAAGAATCGAAAGCTCTCCGACGACCTGTTCGGCTACTCGATTCGCAACGAGGTCCAATGCAAGCGGTGCCAATACAAACACGTCTATTACGAGAATAATACCGTAATGACTGTACGGATGATGAGAAAAGACCCCAGTGGACACCGGCACTCGATCAAGGACCTCATGAGGAATCTATTCAATCCATCGGTGATCTCTGGATACATTTGCACCAAGTGCAAGAACAAGAACTACGAAGCGCCGGTGAAGCCGACGTTGTTGAGAGCGCCGCAAGTGCTGTTGCTTCATATATCCAGATTCTCGTATGATAAAGAAGCGCGGAAGATTTCGAGACCCGTCACATTGAATGTGAGTCGTTAAAGCCTGGGAAATCTTCAAAAATGATCAGAAATCTCCATTTTACCAGTTTTTTGAGCCACAAAAGCCGAAATTAAGCTAGAAAATCGTCGAAAATCACCAGAAAACCCTATTTTCCTAGCCTTTTGAAGTCAACAATGCTCAAATTCCGAATTTCCAGGCTTCAAAAATGATCAGAAACCCCTATTTTTCTAGCCTTGTTAAGCTTGAAAAAGCTAAAATTGAGCTTGAGAATCGTCAAAAACCACCCAAAAAAACCCATTTTTCTTGCCCTTTTGAGCCAAAAAAGCTGAAATTAAGCTAGAAAATCGTCAAAAATCACCAGAAAACCCCATTTTCCTAGCTTTTTGAAGACAAAAAAGCTCAAATTCTGAATTTCCAAGCCTAAAAATTACCAGAAAAGCCCATTTTTCTAAATTTGCTAAGCTCAAAAATGCTAAAATTTAGCTAGAAAATCGTCAAAAATGACTAGAAAAAAATCCATTTTCCTAGCAATTTTGAGCCAAAAAGCCGAATTTCTTTTTTTTTTCAGGAAACCCTCGACGTCTCCTCCATGGCGACAGCTAGTCAATCGACAGTCTACAAGTTCTGCGGAGCCATCATCCATGCCGGACATCAGCTCGACTTTGGCCACTATTGGTGTGTGACACGATCGCGGCGAAAGGAGAACTCGCTGATCACGTTGAATGATTCGCAGGTATGTATTTGTTGGTGGGGGAGAAAAAAAGCGATTCGTCATCCTGTCAGTTGGTGTGACCTTCTGGAATGCGGAGAGAGAGAGAAGAGAGAAACGAGAGGTTTATGTCAAAAAGAAAAAGATAAAAATGAACAATGATTCCGAGGAAATGCGATTATGCAAAAAAAAAACGAAACGAATTGTTGGGAAACGTACTCTTTCTTCCTTGAATAGTGCAGAAACTCAGGGATTTTCGGCCTGAAACGTGGAAAATACTTCAAAAAAGGGTGAAAGAAAGCTAGAAATGACCTAAAATATCTTATTCCAACAAAAAATGGTCAAAATAGATGAAGATACTGAGCAAAAAATTAAGTTAAAATAGTGGAGAATGACTCGAAACTGTCCATTCGAACAAGACTAAAATCAAAGCTCTAGGTAAAAAATGAGCCGATATATGATTTTTTCAGCTACGCATTTAGAATTATCATATCTATTTGAGCTAGAGCTCCAGTTTTAGTACCATTTGAATCAGTATTAAATTTTATGCTTGCCTTCACCACAAAGCTCGAAACTAGCATAAAACATGCCATTTCAGTCTAAAATTTGTTAAAAATTGAAAAAAAGCTTGCTAAAAATGACCCATTCTCAACCTTTTGAGGTTAAAATGGTTCTTTAAAAAAAACGAAAAAAGGAATGGGCCGAACCGGGGATTGAACCCGGGACCTCTCGCACCCAAAGCGAGAATCATACCACTAGACCATTCGGCCACAATTCTTCTCTCCTTCAGATTCGAAAGATATAGAGAGATTTATCGGGCGTGATAAAATCCTGTTCTCTTCGTTTTCACGTGAAACAGGATCCGATCCTATCGCCATATCTTGCT